TCTGAGTGCATACTTTGAGGTATCCTCGTAATAACCTTATTATTATACATCTTTTCACTCCAAGGATACACCATTGGGAATGCCGAAATCCAAAATGTTTAGAACAGAATCAGCGAACTTCTTTGTGTGGAGTCCGGTAAAACTCTGGTGGCAGCCATGTTTGTTTTTATTATTAGAGGACGCTTACCCGCGTAATCATTCCATATTTGGAATTCGATTTTTCCTAATAGGGTAGGATGAAAATACCGGCCCCGCAAAATACAGCAAACCTACGGTACGCTGTAACTTGTGGCGTTACGGTGACAGATGTATAATAATATCAATAAATGCTACTCTGTCTTTGCAAAGATCATTGGGTTAATTGTGTGCTAAGACGAAAACTTGGTTATTGCAAAGGTCACTTATTTTTACCATCAATATGACTCATAACAGTGCGTTGAAACATAATCCAGAAGTGCACAACGTTTACTAAATGCCTGACTAATTTGTATTGTCAAATTTTATGTGCCTTGGACATGTTGAGAAATGAATAAATCATGACGTAACACCTTGCTTAAACGGCCGATAATTAGCCAATATGATTGAGTTTGATTAGAAGCTGACTTTTATTATAACTGCACAATCGGTGCTGGAGCTCTAATAACTGTTAGGACCAGCTCAAAAAATGACACTGCTAAGATTGACCTTTTCGTCTTAGCACACAATTAACCCAATCCCTGTCACGGCACTTTGATTGTGATAGTGTCTGGGGATGGTGATTTGTTCACTGTCCTGGACTACTCAAATGATGTACATGACTCCCTAATGACGAAATGAAATCAATGTGATATATAAGCACCTTTGTATATTCACAGCGACTGTCAATCATTTAGTGTACATTTATGGTCTCGAATGGGGGTGATTTCATTATTTGCTTTTTATCTTCATGAAACCCATTCCTTCAACAAAAAAAATGGGTAAGCTAGTCGTCACTGAATACAGAATCACCGACCCGTCTAAGCTGAAGAAATTTACCATTCTCTAAAGATAAGCACCGTGTTGGCTGGTTCTCCACGCAATATTGGTGATGAAGAGTCTTTTGCTCCGTAAAAAATTGTATTTTGAATAATTAAGATATGCATGTTAAACATTCATTTCATTGAGTGTATGAGCAGCCGTACGCAGACATCGAACACATCTGCTTTTGATGTGTATATTTCGGTGGCTAAATGTCTTTTGGTGTTACCAGCCATGCGTAATACAATATTTAACTATCAATTCAAATGTGCTCTGTTATTGCAACTAGATTTCCCTGAATTTACGGGTAGCATCTGTTATTAACGTTAATAAATAATGTTTAACCTGTCCTTTGGTGTCTCCTAAAAATACTCTCCTGAAATAGGACTTTGTTGGGAGGGGGCACGTCGAGTCGAAGAATTCTTAGCAAGTGCCGAGACACCCAGGCAACAACCACGTGGGTACATCTAGCCAATAAGAGCACGCTTTGCGGTGACTGCAGCACCACTTTGACCGTCGGAATTGGTAAATACGTACGTTCTACGTCGCTTGGTCACATGATAGTCGAGGTGCAAGGAGATTGGACTAGAAGCCTGAATCCCTAACACATACATAAATGTTGCTATACCATACTATAATATACTTAATTTCCACTTAGATTTTTTTTGCCTATTTTCGCTAAGTGAAAATCATAAAAT